AGAGAGAGAAAGAGAGAGATTTCCTGGGTGGAATGGCCACACCGCAATCTCTTCTTCTCTTAGGATTTTAGGCATGCACACACAAGCCTCTGGTATGTTTTTCAAACTGCCGGGTCTGGGTCTCAAACTATGCAGCTGCCCTTGTGGAATCCAGTCTCCATAAGCTCCATACCGTCTGTGGGCCCCAGTCTTTTTTTGTTTTTGTTTTTAGGTTTGTTTGTTTGTTTGTTTGTTTGTTTCTTTCTTTCTTTCATGAGACAGGCAGAGCAGGAGAGAGGCAGAGAGAGAGAGAGAAGTCAAGCACACTCAGCTAGGATCCCTCCCAGACCTCTTAACCAGAAAGGATCATGGACACATGAGCCCGGCATGAATCTTCAGACTGGAGAACTGAACCCACTATCTTTCATATGGATCCAGTATCCAGATGAGCAGCATATCATCACTGTGCCATCGAGCTGGCCAAGTCTCCTCTCAATAAGGAAACCTAAGAACATAAGTGACAGGCGCTTTCAGAAAACTTCTGAGCCAAAGATTTTTTAATTTTTTTTTTTTGCTAACCTAGAATGAAATTTACTCCTAGACAACAATAAAATAAATACTAAATATATATCAATGCTCTTTCTTCAATTTTTGCCAGAAGACATGTGTGTTAGCCAGAGAGACAGGCAGAGAGCGAGAGGGAGAGAAAGAAAGCACCCTGTATGAGGAATAGTCACACAGCAATCCCTTCTGCACCTTTCCATCTTGTTAGGATTTTGGGTGCACACATACAGGTGCCTGGCATGTTTCTCAAGCTACTGGGCCCAGGATTCGCACCACAGGTTTGGCCATCTGGGGTCTGGCTGCCTTATCCACCAGGCCATGGAGCTGGCCAGCATCAACGCTCATTACCTAAATCATTTCTTCAAAGGCAAAGAAAATACTATAGTAGAGCATGAAGGCACTGGCTATATTCCTGAGAAATAAGGGGCTTTTCAGTCATAGTAACACTATTACTAATATTAGTAATTATGAATAATAGCTAATATTTACTATGTGACAGGCAATATACTGAGCACCTTCTATGCACTGTCATTTAATTATCATAATGCCCCTCTAGGGATAAGAGATATGAATACTGAGGCTCACAGAGTCTGAGCACTCTGCCCAATAGTGAAGGCAGTGAATCTGAACCTAGAGTACATGCTCTTAACCACTGTGGTCTATGCTTTACTGCAGTGACATGTATACTTGTGATAGTTACCAATTACTTTTTCCATAGAGGCTATACACATATACACACAGAGCAAATGAGAGCATCTCTTCCCTGCCTAAGTTGTCACACTAAATATTATTAATCCTCAAAATTTTTGTCAATTGGGATAAACTGTCTTAATAAAGACAGTTATTTACTGTCTTTATTACTCTTTATTTACTCATTGGTCTTTTTTATTTTCTGGGAATTGTTCATTTATATCTTTTGCCCATTCTGAGTTAAATATTCATTTGATTGACTTGTTAGAATTTATATTCTGGGGATGGCACAGAGGTTGGGGGAGTTGGATCCCACATGGCCAACTGTGTGGTTCAAGTCCTGGACCTGGTGGCATGAAAACATGCCAGGTGTGTGTGTGCATTACATGTCCAAAATTCTGAGAGGAGAGGAGAAAGGATTGTGGTGTGGCCATCCACCTTGGGGGGATGACTTCTCATTTTCCCTTTTTCTCTGTCTCTCCAGCAAGCACAGCATCTTAGAGTAAAACTAAAAAAAAGAAAAAAAAAAGGAATTCATATTTGGATAATATATTAAAATTTGGAGTACAAATAAAGAAAGAAGTGGAGATAACTAGTTATCCTTTTCTTTATGATAGTGTAAGTAAATGCACACCCACCAGGGAAGGAGGGAGAGAGATAAGCATCCTCTACTAGGTTGTGATTCCCTCCCTCCAGTCCTCTACTCCATTGGATCTTGCACACTTGCATGTATACCTGGTATGTTTTAGGTGAACCAGGCTCGGGATTCAAACAGTAGTCACCACGTGGGATCTAGCTGCTCTGGAACAGTATATCACTACTGTGCCAAGGGCCAGCCTAGTTAATCTTTTTCTAAAAAAAGTGAAATCACTACTCCATACCTTATACTGAAGCAAATTACAGATGGATTAAAGATATTTAAAATAAAAGCATAATCCTTTCTTATAGCAGTCTGTCAGTTTCTTGATATTAACTTAATAACAGATATATTGATATAGACAAAAAATATGAATGGGCAAAAGTATACACTAGAAAGCTCATACAAAAGTATTGTGACAGTGGACAGATGGTGGTGTAGCCAAAATGCAACTGGACCCAAATGGGAAGGTCCTGGGTTCACTGCCTGGGGCCACCCTGTACACATTGAGCATGTACATATGCCTATGATCTAGGCTGGCTGGGGCTGAGTGAACTGCGGCATAGGGACCCTGTTGGGGATAATCCTCTTTCTCTCATGGAAAAAGTAAATTAACTTAAAAAAAAAAAAGAGTATTATGTAAAGTCTGTGTCATACAAAGCAACTGAAAATTGCTATCTTTGGAAATTATTGAAAAGCTATTGCGGCCCCCTGGGCCGGCGTGGCTCTGCTCCGCGTTCTGCTGCCTCTCCGGGGCTGGCGTGTGGCCTCCGGGCCTGCGCCTACGTGTGGCCGCTGGGCCAGCGCGTGGCCCCCCCCAGGCCTGCACGTGGCCGCCAGGCCTGCGTGTGGCCCCTGGGCCTGTGCTTGTGTGTGGCCGCCAGGCCTGCGCGTGGCCCTGGGCCTGTGCGTGGCCGCCGGGCTTGAGCCTGCACGTGGCCCCTGGGCCTGCGCGTGGCCGCTGGCCACCGGCGACAAAACGAAGCCGC